TAAGAAAGTTAATTGACTCTGTCCCAGATAACTACCTTGCAACAGGTAGCATCCATAGAACAGTATACTGATGTGGATGAGATGCCATTCGAGGAAGCTGTAGGAAGGCTCAATGCCTATGAGGATCGGCTGAAACTTCGAAGCAATAACACAACCCGGGAATGAAGTTTGTTGCTCACCCGATCAAAAGGTCAAAACAGTCAAAAGGCTTCAAAGGGGGGTTCCTTCTCGAGTGGTAAGGGACGCGGAACATCACATCATGACATAGGTGGTCGAAGTGGTGGACGGGGTAGAAGAAGCACATGGGGCAGAGGTGGTCGTGAAAGCTTTATAAAGTTTCATGACTCAAACAATAATCGTCAAAAAGGAAGGGATAAAAGTCATATCAAGTGTTACAACTGTGAAGAATATGGTCACTTTGCATCAGAATGCAAAGCTCCAAAAGAAAGAAAGGATGAAGTAAACTTGACTCAAACTCAAAATCGCGATGATGAACCAGAAGCACTTCTTCTGAGTGTCTTTGGGGAAGAGTCAAACAACATGGTGTTACTAAATGAAGACAAGGTGTTCCCGGGACAGAAAAGCAGTGATAAAGACCTTTGGTATTTGGATAATGGTGCCAGTAATCATATGATTGACATGAGAAGTTTCTTTGTTGAACTCGATGAGAAGGTGACCGGACAGGTGTGTTTTGGTGATGGTTCTAAAGTGAAGATCGAAGGAAAAGGTACAATCTTGTTTGAGTGTAAGAATGGTGATCATATACTTGTTTCATTCCAACTTCGCATTGTAACATCCTGAGTCTAGGGCAGATGACAAAAGAAGGATACAAGATTGAGATGTTGCATCAGTATCTACGAATACATGATGAACATAGAAGATTGATAATGAAGGTACAACGGTCCAAGAACCGGTTGTACAAGATCACCCTCAATACTTCACAACCGATTTGTATGGCAACTAGTATTGATGATGAGGCTTGGCTATGGCATGCGAGTTTGGGGCACGTAAACTTTCGAGTTATGGAATCTATGGTTGAGAAAGGATTAGTAGAAGGTGTGCCAAGGATAAAACACCCGACACAAGTTTGCGATGGGTATTTGGTCGCGAAACAAGTCAGACAACCATTCCCAAAAGAAGCTATGTGGCGAGCAAGTAAACCCCTCGAGCTAATTCACGATGATCTTTGTGGTCTGATAACACCACAAACTTTGGCAGGTAATAGATACTTTATGTTAATGGTCGATGATTTTAGCAGATACATGTGGGTACATATGCTAAAATCAAAAGACGAAGCCTTTGCAGCCTTTAAGAAGTTTAAATCTCAGGTTGAAAATGAGAGTCCATACAAGTTGAAGGCACTCAGGATAGATCGGGGAGGGGAATTCACCTCCCAAGTTTTCTCAGAATTTTGCAGTAAAGAAGGCATCAAAGGGAAATTAACTGCATCATATTCTCCCCAACAGAACGGTGTAGTTGAGCGTCGAAATCGGACCGTTCTTGAAGAAACTAGATCATTCTTGAAGATTATGAGTGTGCTAGAAAGATTGTGGGGGGAGGCTCTTTGTCACGCAGTGTATGTTCTAAATTGAATGCCAACGAAAGGAGTAAAGGACATGACACCGTATGAAGGGTGGAAAGGAAAAAAAACCAACACTTCATCATGTCAAAGTGTTTGGTTGCCTTACACACATGAAGAAGCCTGCAAATCAATTAATTAAGCTAAGTGATCGAAGTATCCAGGTGGTGTATCTGGGGTCGAGCCAGTTAGCAAGGCTTATAGATTGTTCAACCCTAAAGAGAATAAGATAATGGTGGGTCGAGATGTCATATTTGAAGAGAAAGTTAAGTGGAATTGGGCTGAAGCCCAAAATGGCAAGCAAGGTGAACAATCTGGGTATTTAAGAAGTGTTTTTAATTCACCAACATACGGAGAGGAAGCATATGAAAACCCTGGTGATGAAGCAAATCCTTCTTTCCAGTCGCCGATGGTTACTCCTTCAGCGACACCAACAAGCATGAGCACAGGTAATCAAACAAACTCGGCCCCTCTTACGTTTGATTTTTCAAACTCATCTTTTGAACACATCAAAGGAATAAGCCCTTCTATGTTTGATAATACCCCTGTGCGTGGGTTTCAATCTCTAACTGAGATATATGCTGAAACTCACCCCATTGAAGTTGAAGAAGTAGATCTAATGTTTGTTGGTGAAGAACCCTCCACCTATATGGAAGCAAAAGGTGATCGAAACTGGCTAGAAGCAATGAAAACTGAACTTAGCTCACTTGAAAAAAATAAAACGTGGAATCTGACAGATTTGCCACATGGACATAGACCCATTGGACTGAAGTGGGTATTTAAATTAAAGAAGGATGCGGAAGGTAAAGTACTAAAACACAAAGCCCGGTTGGTCGCGAAGGGGTATGTGCAGCGAAAGGGGGTTGACTTTGATGAAGTTTTTGCGCCCGTTGCACGATTGGAGAAAATTCGAGTGCTCCTAGCTCTTGCAGCAATGAGAGGCTGGAAAGTTCACCATCTTATGTGAAATCCGCTTTCTTAAACGGAGAGTTAAAAGAAGAGGTATATGTTTCACAGTCGGACGACTTTGTTATTGCAGGCAAGGAACATGAGGTTTACCAGTTAAATAAAGCTCTCTATGGGCTACGACAGTCTCCAAGAGCGTGGAATGTTAAGCTCGACAAAACACTCAAGGATATGGGTTTTCACACGTGACTTCAAAACTCAAAAGTGGTACTAATAGTTGGTGTATACGCAGATGACTTGATTGTGACAGGTACGAGTGAAGAAAAGATAGTTGAATTCAAGAACCAAATGGAGAAAGTATTCGATATGAGTGATTTGGGGATGCTAACCTACTATCTTGGAATTGAGGTGAAACAATGTAAAAAAGGTATAGCAATCAGTTAAATGGGATATGCAAAGAAATTGCTAACAGCAGTAGGTATGGCAGATTGCAATGAGGCAAAATATCCAATAGAACCAAAACTAAACTTAGCCAAGAATGAAGATCAAGAAATGGTGGATGCTACAAAATTTCGGAGTCTTATTGGGAGCTTACGTTACCTGATACACACAAGGCCAGATCTTAGTTACTCAGTTGGGGTGGTCAGTCGATACATGGAGTCGCCTAGAGAAAGTCTTTTAAAGGCAATAAAACACATTTTGAGGTATGTAAATGGTACAATGAATCATGGTCTTGTGTATAGACAAGGAGGAGATGGAAACTTGGTGGGTTATAGTGATAGTAGTCATGGAATGGATCGTGATGATGGAAAAGGTACAACTAGAATGGCATTTTATCTCTCAGGAAATCTGGTCACATGGAGTTCACAAAAGCAGAGGACTGTGGCTCTGTATTCTTGCGAGTCAAAATTTATGGCAGTAACAGCGGCGTGTCAAGCATTGTGGTTGAGAAACCTGTTAAAGGAATTGACCAGCTGGGAGGTTAGAAAGGTCAAGTTGTATGTAGACAACAAATCTGCAATAGAGCTCATGAAGAACCCTGTATTCCATGGTAGGAGCAAACACATTCAGACTCGATACCATTTCATCCGAGAGTGTGTGAAAAATGGATTAATTAGTGTAGAGCATATAAGTGGAGAAGAGCAACGGGAAGATACTTTGACCAAAACATTACCCTAGGTGAAGTTTGCTGAGATGAAAAGTCTTCTGGGAATTGAGAAGCTTGAAGACCCTATTCAGAATTAGGGGGGAGAGTGTTGGAGTTAATTCTGATTTGAATTTGATTTTAATACAATAAAGAGAATAATCGGTTACCATATTATGCTAACCTGGTAGTAAAAGTTTTCAATTATAGTTTATGGTCGTTTTAAAGCACTTTAATTCAGATTTCAATGTAATAGAGTCTATAAATTGCAATCAGGTTGTAGTTTCTTTTGTGTGTCGAATAAAGGAATTCAGTAACATTTTCTGTGTGCACTCCTGCCCCTGTATCAGTTTGTGCAGTTTTTTGTTGAGATCACTAGTTATGAGACTCATGTATTACATAGATTAATTTAAAAAAAAAAGTTAAATATAAAAGTCAAAATATTTGAGAACTTTGAATTTATAAGAAAATAAGAAAAATAATGATATATTATAATGGAAATGTTTTTTATCTTTTAAATTTAAACAAATAATTTAAATAAAGAAAAGTATTACGATTAAGGATAGTTATTATCTTTATCTTGCCTATAGTTATCTTTATTTATTCAATAGTTATCATGTTTAAATGTTTACTGAATTCTAGGATTTCAGTTTAGTGTTCAGACCCTGGTTATATATTCTCCTGTGTAAATTGATTGAAAATAATGAAAACATGTTTTTTACTTCTCTAAATTTATTATGGTATAATCGGTTACCATATTATGCTAACCTGGTAGTAAAAGTTTTCAATTATAGTTTATGGTCGTTTTAAAGCACTTTAATTCAGATTTCAATGTAATAGAGTCTATAAATTGCAATCAGGTTGTAGTTTCTTTTGTGTGTCGAATAAAGGAATTCAGTAACATTTTCTGTGTGCACTCCTGCCCCTGTATCAGTTTGTGCAGTTTTTTGTTGAGATCACTAGTTATGAGACTCATGTATTACATAGATTAATTTAAAAAAAAAAAGTTAAATATAAAAGTCAAAATATTTGAGAACTTTGAATTTATAAGAAAATAAGAAAAATAATGATATATTATAATGGAAATGTTTTTTATCTTTTAAATTTAAACAAATAATTTAAATAAAGAAAAGTATTACGATTAAGGATAGTTATTATCTTTATCTTGCCTATAGTTATCTTTATTTATTCAATAGTTATCATGTTTAAATGTTTACTGAATTCTAGGATTTCAGTTTAGTGTTCAGACCCTGGTTATATATTCTCCTGTGTAAATTGATTGAAAATAATGAAAACACGTTTTTTACTTCTCTAAATTTATTATGGTATCAGAGCAAAGTCTGGGAACTCAAACCTAGCTTTGTTTGAACGATGGCTGTTGGCGAAGGTTCGACACCACCACCACCCACAGGGAAGACAATTGATGTGTCGTCACCATATTTTCTCACCTCTGGTGATCACCCTGGATTAAACTTCATTGGAGAGAATCTTCTCCATGATGGTAACTATAGTGATTGGAAGAATGAGATGATGAATGCCTTGTTTGCCAAGAACAAGGTTGGATTCATTGACAATTCCCTTCCCATGCCAGAAGAAGGATCTGCTGATTTGATGAACTGGAAAAGATGTAATGCCATAGTAAGAGGTTGGCTTGTTAGCGCTATGGAAAAGGAGATTAAGAGCAGTGTAAAACACGCTGCTACTGCTCGTGATATTTGGCTGGACCTTGAAGAAAGATTTGGAAGAGAGAATGCTCCAAGAGCATATGAACTAAGAAGAACAATAACCATAATCCGCCAAGAAAATATGACGATATCAGGTTATTACACAAAGCTGAGAGGAATTTGGGATGAAGTACAATCAATTACCCCGTTACCAACATGCACCTGCCAAGGTTGCAAGTGTGAAATCACAAAAGAGATTGCAAGATCGAGGGAAAAGGAGCGCTGGTATGACTTTTTAATGGGACTCAATGAAGAATATGGTGCCCTAAGGACACAAATTCTGAGTACCGATCCTCTACCAACACTAAACAATGCATATCATCTACTACGTCAAGATGAACAGCAGAAAAATATTGGTGCTTCTCGAAGTGTAATGGGAGAAGCTGCTGCTATCTACACCAACAGCAAAATAGCTCCAAAAATTAGGGTCAAAGGAAACTCTTCAAGTAACTTGAACAAGAAGGAAGAAAGAAGCAAGAATGGAAAGAATGACGATAGATGGTGTTCACATTGTCATAAAACTGGACACACACTTGAAGGGTGTTTCGAATTAATAGGTTATCCTGATTGGTGGTCTGTGAAGTATACAACAAGCAAGAATTAATCAGGTAAGACTCGACAACAACAACCACGGGCTGCTACTGTTACCGGAGAAACCTCACAACAATCGCCGGTTCTTGCTAAAGAAGACTATGAAAAGCTTTTTCAACTTCTAAAAACAGCAAAACTAAGTGAGCAAAAGATTAATCCCACAGCCAACATGACTGGTAAGGTCGAAAGACTAGACAATTGGATCATTGATTCGGGTGCCAGCGACCACGTAACTCATCTTACAAAGTGGCCAAAAACCATGAATAATAAGAGAAACAACACTTCTGTTTCTATACCTAATGGAAAGCTAGTAACAGTCAAAGGAATTGGTGATATACAAATATCACTAGACTTGAAATTGAAAAATGTGTTGAATGTACCATATTTTAACTGTAATTTACTTTCAGTTAGCAAAATAACTTGTGATTTAGGTTGCTCATTAACGTTTTTACCCGACCTATGTTACATACATGACTTACATTCGAAGAACCTGATTGGGATGAGTAAGGAGCGTGATGGGCTTTACTACTTAGAGCCGATGGAAAGAAAGAAAGCTGCAATGGTGGTTCTGAGAAAATATGATGTTTGGCATAGAAGACTTGGTCATACTTTAGAGGAGTACTTCGTAAGATACAACAAATAGGAGATGTAGGTACTTGCAGTCAATTTTGTGATTCTTGTATACGAGCAAAGCAAACTAGACTTCCTTTTCCAATAAGTTTCTCGAAAACAAAAGAATGTTTTGATTTAATACATGTTGATATATGGGGTAGATATAAATATGCTTCTCCTGATGGCGCTCATTATTTTTTATCAATAGTCGATGATTATAGCCGTAGAGTGTGGGTGTATTTGATGAAAAATAAGTCTGATGCTGCTCAGCTACTAGTAACGTTTTATAAGTTGATAGTAACACAATTTAACAAGAACATCAAAAGAATAAGAACAGATAATCATAATTTAAGTCCAGTTTCATGCTTGAGTTTTACAAGGACAAAGGCATACTACTAGAAACCTCATGTCCATACACGCGACAACAAAATGGCGTTGTAGAGAGAAAACACAGACATTTATTAGAAATGGGAAGAGCATTGCGATTCCAAGCCTCACTTCCAATAGAATTTTGGAGTGATTGTATACTAACCGCAGCATATATAATAAACAAGTTGCCGACTCCAGTCCTAGAAAATAAAACTCCACATGAAATTCTTCTTGGGAAATCGCCCATGTATGAACACCTATGGGTTTTTGGTTGCCTAGCTTACGCACATAACACATTGGGAAAACACGATAAATTTGGTGAGAGAGGGAGACCTTGCATTTTCATAGGGTATCCAATGGGTCAAAAAGGGTACAAAATTTATGACTTGAAAGATCAAAGAATACATGTTACTTGTAGTGTTACTTTCATTGAAAGTAAGTTTCATTTTGGAGAAGACTATGAAGGACATAAGGTGATAGCAAATGATCACCTGGTTGATGCGTTGGATAATATACAAGAAGATGTTGAAGTCCCAGCTTAAGAATTAGATGGGAATGATGAGACAAGTGATAGTGATAACCCTCAAATCGTTGAACCACAACCATTAAATTCCACTGCACCTACCACCACTAGCAATAATAACACACAGGTGCAAACAGACCAAGAAACGGGAATTAGACGTGACACTCGCATACGGTCAAAGCCCAAACACTTGGAAGACTTCGTGATCGAGTTACCACCATCACTTGATAGCTCTACGCCCATCCCCTCTTCAGGTTCTTCTGCATCTGCTAACAATCTGGTATATCCTCTCTCTCAATTTGTTTCTTATGAAAAATTTTCAAAAATACATCGAGCGTTCTTAGCAGTAATAACTTCAAACAATGAACCAAGAGATTTCTCCCAAGCCATGAAAGATCCAAGATGGATAGAGGCAATGAAAAGAGAGATTACCGCGCTTGAAGAAAATGACACTTGGTCCTTAATGGAACTTCCAGAGGGAAAGAAAGCCATTGACTCAAAATGGGTTTATAAGATTAAATATAAACCTAATGGAGAAATAGAAAGGTTCAAAGCTCGGTTGGTAGCAAAAGGTTACATTCAAATAGAAGGTATTGATTTTCATGAAACTTTTTCCCCAGTAGCTAAGCTCGTGACTGTTAGATGTGCCTTGGCTGTTGCTGCAAAGAAAGAATGGGAAGTACACCAGATCGACGTAAATAACGCCTTCTTGCATGGTGATTTAGAAGAAGACGTTTATACGAAGGTGCCTCAAGGTTTTCGTGAAAATGTTGAAAATCAGGTATGTAAATTACACAAGTCTATCTATGGTCTACGTCAAGCTTCAAGGAATTGGTACCAAAAGTTTACAAAAGCTCTTATGGAGATAGGCTTTCTACAAAGCAAGGCAGACCATTCTATGTTCATATTTAGGATGTGTTCTGTTCATATTGTTGCTCTCATATATGTTGATGATGTACTGTTAATGGGAAATGACATCAATAAAATCAATGAAGTGAAAAATCATTTGCAGAACAGGTTTAGCATTAAAGATTTGGGTCCTCTCAAATATTTTCTTGGTATTGAAGTTGCTCGGTTAAAGGAAGGTTTCGTAATAAGTCAAAGAAAATACACTCTTGACATTCTAGAAGATTGTGGTGTTTTTGCAAGCAAGCCTAGCAATTTTCCAATGGAACAAAATGTTAAGCTAAGAAAAGATGATGAAATCCCAGAAGTTGATGCTTCACGTTATAGAAGATTGGTGGGACGTCTACTTTACCTCACAGTTACTTGACCTGATATAACATTTGCAGTGAACCAACTAAGTCAATTCTTGAGCAATCCTAGAAAGTCACATATGGATGCTGCTCACAGAGTTCTCCGGTATTTGAAAGGTACACCAGGTCAAGGTTTATATCTTCCTTCAGCAGGTTCTTTAGATCTTGTGGCCTATTGTGATGCTAGTTGGTTAAGCTGTCCAACCACTAGAAGGTCATGCACGGGATATTTCATTACTCTTGGAGGATCACCAGTTTCCTAGAGGACGAAAAAGCAAACAGTAGTGTCTAGATCTTCAGTGGAAGCAGAATATAGGTCGATGGCAAGTACTATATGTGAAATTTTATGGCTCAGGTGGCTTCTTCAAGATTTGGATGTTGTGCAAAGTGGCTCAACTCCTCTTATGTGTGACAATGAAGCAGCTAGACACATTGCAGCTAATCCAGTTTATCACGAACGAACAAAACACGTTGAGATGGACTGTTATTTTGTGCGAGAAAGGGTAAACAGTGGAGAGATCAAAACTTTTTCTATACGTTCTAATTTTCAGGTTGCAGATATTTTCACTAAGGCTCTTGGTGCAGATCGATTCAAATTTCTATGTGGCAAGTTGGGTGTTCGTGACTTACACACTCCAACTTGAGAGGGAGTATTACGATTAAGGATAGTTATTATCTTTATCTAGCCTATAGTTATCTTTATTTATTCAATAGTTATCATGTTTAAATGTTTACTGAATTCTAGGATTTCAGTTTAGTGTTCAGATCCTGGTTATATATTCTCCTGTGTAAATTGATTGAAAATAATGAAAACACGTTTTTACTTCTCTAAATTTATTAAAAAGAAACTTTAATTTTGGGAATTTTAAAATTAAAAGGTAAGTTTATTAGTGAAATTAATATCCATTTATTACTACATTTATTGAAATTATTATATTAAAATATTATGTAGAATTTAATAAAAAAGAAAAACTAATAAAATGACATATGAAAAAAAATTATTAAAATAACCACAAAATGATATTTGGCAAATTAATGAGAGTGAACCACTTGGGTTGTGGTGACTTGGTAAGACATGTGGAAAATATGGTGGATAACCTATTGACCCATGTTCAAATCCTGACACTACTCAGCCCTTGTGGCCATGGAGGTTCGCCTGCAGTGATTCTAAGGCATGAGGCAAAACCTCATGTTTGCATCGGGGGATTAGTCGGTGCGCGAAAGCTGGCCCGGAAACCCTCGTTAGGGAAGTTCCCTTTCCAAAAAATTGAATGAGAGTGTGACAAGTGGCAAAAAAAAAAGGTCATGTCATTCTAACCTGGTGAAGCAACTCTCTTATTAAAAATAAGCGATAATATATGAAAAAGAAAGAAGAGAAAAGAAAGAGTAACAATTTTTTGCATGGTCTAGGTAGCTCCTTTTGCTTTTTATCATTTTCTTGCGTTGGAGAGAAAGCAAAAGATAGCTGAAAATTTTCATCATGTGTACGATGCTACAATTTTCTTTATTCAGTTTTGCTGAATGTAACTCAAAATTTTGTGTGATCAGACAGTGGTGACAGTTTTAGGATTGTTGGCTCATTCAAATATTGTTAGTCTCTTGGGATACTGCAATGATAAAGAACACAGATACTTTCTTGTTTATGAGTACGTGCAGAACCAGAAATTAGGTAACTTTTTATTCCGAGGTAATATACTTGAATCTCTCTTAAAAACTCTTGTTGGATTTATTTTTTACCCAAACTTTGGATTGTTGTAGTGAAGTAACTCATGTGATGTGTAATGATTTTTCAATGCACCAGATGTTATGCAACAACTTTCATGGGGAACACGGCTTATGATAATGATAGGAGTAGCAAATGGACTCGCTTATATGCATATGTCAAAACATCAACTCATACATGGTTTTCTTAAAAGTCGTAGTATATTAATCGATCAGGTAGTCCTAAGCTACTTAAGATTTTTGTTGGTTGGAGAACTACTTCAACGCTTTTGGTTTTATAGCATAAATTTTTACACGTTCTTATTACAGGATTTTAATGCAAAACTGGGGAGTTTTGAGATGGCAAGATTTTGCAATGATATAGGGAATATAGATGGTAGGATACCATGTAACAAAGTGATATTATTTACAAAACAAATCCTTCTTACAAAACCATAAAAATGAGCCCTCTCAGATAAATTCCGAAACATAATGAGAAGAATAAAATCGTACATGTAAATATAGTCTAAACACCTATTTTTATAATTATGAATTTATGATGGTTTGTTTTCAGTAAATATGCCCAAGTATGGTGGTTCCAAAAGTATATCTATCTATGTTGTGATTATAAAGTATACACTTTAATGTTGCAGGTGAATTGAGCATGAAGACTGACATTTATAGTTTTGGAGTGATTTTGTTGGAAATCTTAACAGGCCAACGAGCACTGGATTCGAAACGCCCACCTTATCAGTTTGATTTGGTAAAATGGATAACTCCATTCTTAGCAGACAGAAGCGAGCTGAAGAAAATAATAGATCCACGTCTTGAACAAAACTTCCCCCTGGAACGTGCTTTTGAATGTGCTGCACTGGCTTTAAGATGTTTAGCTAAGGATCCTAAGGATAGACCTACAAGTGAAGAAGTTTTGTGGGGCTTGGAACAAATATATGTTGTAAACAAATAATGGGTAAAAGGTATGATTTTACACGTAGACTCGTTTGGCTGGGGTACTGGGAAGGAATTATGCTATTTGTAAGACTTGCATTATTTTTTCTGAATTGAGTTATTGTGTTTGGGATACATGTTAAAATTTTAACATCAGAGGTTTAATTTGAACCATACTTTCCCCTGAAAAATCTCTATTTTTATTTATTTTTATTTATATATTTTTGACAATAGACCAAAACTAACTAGTTTTTCATCACTTTTTCCTCTCAAAAAGAGGTGCCAATTTCGTGGTTTTTGAAGCCCTCATTCTCTCTCTCTTCTTTCTTGTACTTTAGTGCATGAACTTAGTGTAAATACTTTAGAAAAGGTCAAAGACTTTTATTGATAGGAATACCCTATATATACAAAGGAAATCTATAAATAAGGAAACAAACTATTCTTGTGTAAAGATACAACAAAATATCATTATTCAAAGAATATATACGGCTAATACACCCCCTCAATATGGGCCGGAGAAGGAGGCAGGCATAGACTGGATCGAAAACACGTGAAAAGTTGTCGTGGCAGGCCTTTGGTGAAGATGTCGGCGTATTGGTAGTCCGCTGGTATGTGGGGTACATGAACAACACCAATGCGAACCTTTTTGCATACAAAATGAATGTCAAGCTCCACGTGCTTGGTCCGTTGATGCTGAACTGGATTATTTGATAAGTATACTGAATAAATATTATCACAACACATTAATGTGGCTTTACGAGTAGGAACGAATAATTCCAATAGTAGATTGCGCAACCAACTGGTTTCTGCAACAACGTTAGCAACACCCCGGTACTCAGCCTCGGCGCTAGAACGTGAAATTGTGGATTATCGCTTTGATGACCATGAAACAAGGTTGTCTCCTAAAAAACACAATACCCGGACGTTGAAAGGCGAGAGTCTGGACAACCCCAACCGGCATCAGAATAGGCAACAAGGTTTTTCGACTTGGAGGGAGAGATGGTGAGGCTGTAATGAAGAGTTCCCTTAAGATAACACAAGACCCGTTTCAATAAATGTAGATGAGGTTCTCGTGGTGCATGCATGAAAAGACAGATTTGTTGCATCGTGCATGTAAGATCCGACTGGGAAATTATGAGATATTGTAGTGCCCCGACCAAGTTGTGGTAAAGATAGTCGTCAGGTAAAAGGTTTCCACTCGTTGCACTGAGTTTGGAACCGATGTCCACGGGAGTAGCGGAAGGTTTGTAGTCGGACATGTGAGCGCGAGAATGTATGTCTGTGGCATAAGTGGCTTGAGAAAGAAATAATCCAATATTATGGTTTTTTGACATTAATGTCGAGAAAATGGTGAAGCCTTCCATGATCGGACATAGCAAATTCTGTGGATAAAGATCAAATGATTTGATAGGTTTTATAAGTTATAACAAAAATGCACAAAGCGGAAAATACTTAACCATTAAGAATTTGAGCACATGCAACCTAAATGATCTACGTCTTTCACATAAAGGCAACATACTTTGAATTAACAAAGTTACTATAACCCTAATGAAATTGAAACTCATAGGATAAGGTTACATACCTTTGGTTTGTTATAGCAAACAGATCAAACCAATCCTTCTTCAAAACTCTTTGAAGCAAGCACCAGAAATCCCGTACCTCTGATGGTTCACACCCAAACCCTAGCAACTAGGAAACTTGAAGAGAGAGAGAGGAGAGGGGAGTTATAATTTCGGATATCCTTTAGAGGTAAGTGATGGCTGAAAATATGAAGGGTGAAGGCCTATTTAAAGCTGATAGGAAAACCCTAGATAACTCTTACCTAATTAAAATAATAATATTTCAAATCAGGTAATTATCTGGTTTCCTAATTATGTTCAATGGATATTCTATAAACCCTAGAATATTCCATAAAACCATCCACCTTTCATAGGGAAGGTTCTGGAACCCTTTTGTTCAACTATTAAATAATTACAGCTTAGGCTCTTGCACTTTTAATTAGTCCAATTAATCTCGAAATTAATTCTAATTAATTTCTTATTAATTCTTAATTAAATAATACTATTTATAACTAATATATTATTCTCATAATATATTAATAAATAATTTATTACTATTTATTCATCACATAATAAATAAATAAATTAGTATCTCTCTCCAAAAGTCATCCTATTCAATTACCAGGTTTGAGGGCAACCCAAAAGGACTTTGATAATAATTGAAGTATATGCCAATTTAGTTATTGACTTAGACACCTAATCAAACAGTCTCCCACTTGGATAAGTCTATAACTACAATTTCCAGTATAACTTCTAAATTGTCAGCAAAGGGTGCTTCCCAGAGCAACTCCAGTCTCTAATTTGATCAGTCATTAGTCCTAAGATAAGTGATCAAATATTTCTTCGTTCTACAAGATATCGCATGGACACGAGACATGGATTAGAATCAATCTTATTGTCCAAAATCCCGATTTTTGATGATGTCACAAGACTTCTAATTGAAACATCAATTTAGTCTTAGCTGACCCAGCACTATAAGTCAACACCAAATCAGTGAGGGGCCCAAAGATATAGCTTTTCCTGATAGGGAAAAAGGAACGAATAAACTTTGACTTTTATGCTTGTATCATTTACTCACCAAATCATACATGACACTACATTTTATAACATCAAGTTACTGATGAGTTTTCGTAATACCAACGTACAACCGAATTGTAAATTACAACTCATATATCTCAGTTTCAAGAATATAAGATATTATCGTCTCAGAATTACTCGTGACATAATCCATGAAGTAATTCTCTGATTGTGGGTTTATCCAATACTCAAATCTTAATTTTCTAAGTACTCATGAACGTTGTAGCAACACAATTGCTATGTCTAAACTCCTTAGACAATCTACAATCCAATTCATGGCTGTCTTCATTCACTACTTACTTCCTAAAGTATGAACCACTGTGGAGCTTCGAACAATCAAATTATTTAGGAAGTAAAACATGCAAAACGAAACACAAGAATATATTATTGATAAAGGCAGTAAACAAACTCATAAATAGTCTATATTATTCAATCACCAAAATCAATTATATTTATTTTGTTAAAACTTTCAAGCTAATCACCTGACTACTAAAACTAATGTCATCTCTCAAACCAATGCTCCTAGAATGTTGACTATGTTTAACCCTACTCAGAGTCTTTGTGAGAGGATGTGTAGGATTGTCTTCTGACAAAACTCTCTTTACTATGAGATGACCTTCTTCAACTCTATGTCTGACATAATGGTACTTTCTGTCGATATGTCTTGATTTACCATGATCTCTCGGTTCATTGATCAAAACTTCTGCTTCGTTATCGCAAAAAAGTTCCATTGGCTATCCTTAATACTCAGAACTACTCTGCGATCACCGATGAAATTCTTCATCCAAGCCGCTTCCTTTGATGCTTCACGTGCTGCTATGTAATATGACTCACAAGTAGAATCAATGACCGTGTCTTGCTTGGAAATTTTCCAAGTGACTGCTCATCCATTTAATAGAAACACCCAACCAGATTGAGAACATAGGTCGTCTCTGTCTGTTTGAAAGCTGGTGTCACTATACCCACTTACTCTGAACGTATCTGTAACGTACCAAAAAATTAGACGAAAAAATTCATTTTAATTATAATAAAACCATCAACTCAAACATGTTTTATAAACCATAATAGAATCAAATGTAACCAAAACATCCATATACATCAGAGTTAAATAAAATGCAAAACAAAGTGATGTGTGGGATGCGATCACCCCGAGCTGTTCCCCTTGGACCCGGAAGTACCTGAAACATAAACTGAAAATCTTAAGCATGAAGCTTAGTGAGTTCCGCAAAATATCACATACCATACATATCAAACATATAATGGGCCCCGCTGTCCATCGGACCCCGCTCGGAAGAGATATGTTAGTAATATGAGATGCGCCTTGCCACAACACATTCATCAGGCCCCACCTGGAATCGGTCCCTGCCCGGTATACATACAAACATATAAACACATGCAAGAATCACAAAGATAACTAACATACAATATAGTTATCAGGCCCCGCCCGGTATACATATCACATATAACGCATGCAAGAGTCACACAAACAACTAGCATCCTATCCATAACAAATCATAGGATGACATTAGTGCCTTCGACCTGTCAAGCACAGTGAGGAAACTCACCTCAAACTGCTAAGCACAGAGAGGAAACTCACATCGAACTGCTGAATCCCTCAGATAAAATCTTGGACTGACCGGGAAAATCCTTGCGCTAACACCATCAAATAATATCCAATTAATAATCCACAACCCATAGCTTGAATCCTAGTCCGATTGTCCAACACTTATAGTAAAAGTCCATTTTACCATTTCCTTACTTGGCCCAAAACCTGAGGCCCAAACTAATAACATCAAAATCCCAGTCTGGCCCAACTTTCTAATTGGGCCCCAAACCCATAATGGGCCTAATCGAAGAAGGCCCAAATTCCTAAAAGACACCCAAATCTCTAAATGGGCCCAAGAACAAGAAGGCCGAAAGATAGAAAATTAGGGCCCATCAAGGCCTAAAAGCCTAAAATCACATCCCACGTCGTGACCAGTCCTTGGTCACGTCGTGAGGGCTCACTCGATCTGATCCCAACTCATCACGACTCGACCTAGCCAACTCAGTCAAGGAATAACACTTGAGCTGACCTCACGATGTGGGCAGCCTTTCCTCACGTCGTGAGAACCAATAAGCTCATCAGAAACGGGATCAACCACTCCTCACGTCGTGAGAACAGTCTGAGGCCAAAAATCCAACTTTTAAGTCCTTAATCTATTAAGCCTTCAACTCTACCTTTCCAGAAGGTCTTATAACCTCCTAATACACTAGAAAGTCGATGTTTTTAAGACATATATGTCCAATACATGTCTAGATCTCATTTAGGTCCAAAGTTGAAGAAAAGACATCCAACTTTCATGAAATGCTCCAAAACTCAACCATTTTCTAGATCTGAACT